GGCCTCGTTTTAAGTCTTAAAAATGCGCTCCCGCTGTGGCGAAACGCGTATTTTCACAAAAAACGCGCGACGGAAAACGACCCGTGCGGTAGTAGTAGTAGTAGTAGTAGTAGTAGTAGTAGTAGTGGTGGCAGTGGCAGTGGCAGTGGCAGTGGTAGTAGCAGTAGCAGTACTACTACTGCTACTGCTACTACTGCTGCTGCTGCTGCTGCTACTACTACTACTACTAATAATAACAATAATAACTAATAGAGAAAATAACAATAAATAATAATAATAACAATAATAATAATAGTCATAGAATCAAGATGCGTCTTTCAGGTCGGTTAACCTCTCACGGCTAAGACTTGCCGCACAATTTTTTCGACTTCGGCTTTCAAAGGAGGTCTTCCTCGTCGACAGCTCTTGTGCCGACGGCTTTTCAATTCTCAGAGGTTCTGCCGGCCATCGTCCATACGGAATCCTTTGAAAACATCGGCGGAACACATGCACGCACCGCATAGGCATGTGCTGTACATGCCAGGTTCGGCATGGCTAGTAGGGATGCTGGACTGGACAAAATTCCAATTGCGCAGCACTTACGGCGACACAGTCTGGACATTCCACTGTGCACAATCCCTGCGAAGAACAGTCTTCCCACGATCAGGACCTTTGGGATGATATAGGGATTACGGTACCCTAAAAAAGGCTAAGTGTTAGTTACTCTAGGAGCCTAAATCATTACCCATACTGCTTTGGGGTTCCATAATATAATTATAGTATAGTATACACCCAAGCCCTATTCTAATGATTAAGGCCTCTACATTACTCTACTACTAGGGCAGAATCTCTCGGCGCTGACGGCCCTGGGCTTGGGCTGCTTCGCAAATCTTCGGTGAGTTGTAAGCCCCCAGGAGACAGCACTGTTCAGTGTAGCCCTGTGTGCCCTCACACCAGTACTGGCGGCACCTCTCATCAATGCATGCCCGACATCCTTGTTCCACACACTCTATCTTTTCGGTGACGGCCTGCTGGAAAAGAGTTTTGCAGCGATATGTCTCCGGCTCCGGTGCTTCTCGCTCGGTTTCGTCGCAGCAGGGAAGAACTTCAAACGCTTCACAAAGGTCGCAGAGATCGGAGGGGTCCCCAATCCATCCTGTACTTGCATGAGCACAGCCGCATTTCTTTTCGAGACAAACGGTCACTGCCTGCTCCCATTGACAGCTTTTCAACGCATCCCCCTGAAGGCCAGCACACTGGCATATCTGTGGAGGATGGCTCACGTTGTGCTGTGCGCAGCAGGCTGCAACGCGAGTTGAATCCTGCTGACAGAGCTGGCAGGACTCCCCCGAGCAGCCCTTGCAGTCAGCCTGTGCGCACGCTTTCACAGCCTCGGCAATGGCAGCACTCTCGCACATGTCTGGCGGTGACGCCCCCGAGTGGTGATGCTTCTGGCAGCAGTCCTGGATTCTCTCTGTGTTCCTTTCGCAGAGGAAGCAGGGATCACCGGAGATGCCGTGGCAGCTTGTCGCCATGCAAGTCTTCACGTCCTGCTCCCAGGCGCATATAGGATTGGGGGCGAGGACGTCGAGCTCGCCGCAAGGACCGGCAGCCACGGCGCTGGCCAGTGCCAGGAGAAGCAACAGAGACACCACTGCCATGGAACTCACCTTTTGAACTATAATAGGTGTATATAAGCCCCAAAAGGTTAAAGGTTACCTACTCAGCCCCTAAGGGAAGCTCAAAAGCCTGGCAGAGCCCAGGGTCCACGGTTTAGTCGCAGGGCTTTCCCTTGAGACGGAAGCTTCTCGCAAGCTGCCCTAAACCCTAAACCCTAAACCAGCTGGGCTACAGGAAACATCTACTTTTGATCCTTTCCCCGTGCCACATCCTATTAGAGGATCAAGGAGCTTGGTAAGTACGGTTATAAATACAGTAATCTAACCTCACTTAAGGTACACTATAACCTTACATACTACGTCCCACGATCCCCCGGAAAAAGGAGCTGTTGATTGATCTTACTCTACCCTAAACCCTAGACCCTAAACCCTGAACCCTAAACCCTAAACCCTATCCTCTAAAGTCTAAGCCCTGTGGGCCCACCACGCACTCTTCAGCTGTCAAGTTGGGATGCAAAGTTGAGTACTACCCTTTTTCCAGCGCCCTTATTGAAGCCCTTTATAGATCCCTTTCAAGGGATCCTATTTCAGAGAGCTACCTACTACCCCTATAGCACCCTTATAGAAACCCGTCTAGATCCCTTTAGACACCCCTTTGAAGCGATCCTCAGCTTTTAGAGGTACCCATCTGCAAGACAATGCAAAGGGCAAGTGCAGAAGCGAGAGAGGAGCGCCTCGAGTAGCGCAGCTGTGGTCCAAGATGCTTTCCCTACATCCCTAAGGCTCCATGGACCCATATAGTCTAGACTTTGGCCTGAAAGTACCTAGATAGAACCCCCCCTAAGGCCTAAGCATACACGACATGAGTACATGTAGCCTTCGGGTATCATTTGAGGAAAGCCTTGCCCCACAGTAGCATTGGGTTTAGGAGTTGGCTTCGCAGGGGAAGGCGTATTGAAGGTTTGGTAGGCTGGGATTTTAAGGCGATGTGGGTATTTGGTATGAGATTCGTTGCTCGGCTTCCCTTCTTGTTTCCCCAACCCAAAACCCCAAAACCTTGACCTAAAGCCCCCCTCACGCCGGACCAACAAAAAAACAACACTGAACCCAGAAAGATCCTTGGCAAGCTTCGCCACGCCCTGGCTGCCGCGCCCCAGCTCCTCTTGCAGATGTGCCATGAAGCTGGTTTCGGTCGAAGGGCGTTTACAGGGTTCCTTTCAGGGGTTGCTGTAAGGGTTCATTTCAGGGTTCCACGCAGGGTTCCGATAAGGGTTGTTGTAAGGGTTTAGGGTTGAGGAGCTTTGGCCTTAGGGTCTGGGGCTCCGGGAGTTAGGCTTTCGGGGCTAGGGGGTTAAAGGTTTAGAGGCTTACTGCTTATCTTTCTTCCCGCTTATCAGGGAAAGGTTACACTGTCAGACTACTACTAAATTGTAAGAACCCAAAAAGGTTTAAAGGCTGGGTATTGGAGAGCTACGTTATGGCGTTACATGAACCCAAAACCTCCAACCACAACTCCTGCACGACACTACACTCCGTGGAGCCCCCAAATTAAAGGAAACTACAGGTGGGGAGTTTAGGGTATATAGGGCTTCTATAAGGCTTCTATAAAGTATATAGACCTTCTATAAGGCTCCTATAACGGTAACTACCCACCTGAAATTGTCCTAGACCAAACCCT